TTCTGTTGTCTTGTACCAGTCTTGCCACTCTCCGTTCTGCCCTAACAATGACTAGTCGCTGACGGCCACAATTCGCACGTTCAGACCCAGATTTTCGGCTGACAGTCCAGTCTTTAAACACTTTAACAACAGCCCCTCTTGAACATTTAATGAATTCTGCTGTTTTGCTGATACTCGCTCCATGGCTCCGAGCGCCAACAATCATCCCACGTTCAAAGGCTGTTAAATCGCGTTGTTTACCCATATCTTCAGAAACAAATCACTTCTACTGTCGTGGTAAACAACCTGCTTCCCTATTTATAATGGTCTGGCCATCAAAAAAATTATAGCTAATTTGCCTACAAACGTCAGGTGGTCATAATAATCTGGCCACTCAGTGCATGTGCGTATATATATGTGTATATATATATATATTTAGGGCTGCGGAAATTAACGATTAATCCTTCAATTAATCGTAAATTTTTTTGATAATCAAAATTCTTTTGATCGGTACTCACCTCTCCGCCGGCTTCCGGGGTCTTCCGTCGGAGATCCGGTGATGTCACCGGACTCCTCCCCCCTTCCCCAAGTGGCTCTGTCGGCTAACGAAGGGAAGATGGAGGAGTGCTACTCCCCCTTCCCTTCGTTAGCAATGGTACTTTACCAGTGTATCTGTAACAACACTGGCGGAACTACCAGGCGGCGCACGCGCCAGTGGGCGGTATCTGCCTGTGCACATAGGGCCTGACGACGTCCTCATTGCCATGTCAATGAACGGCAACGAAAGGCAGCTGGATCATGTAATGGTTTCCTGTGACAGGCTCTGTTCTCCTATTGTCCCCTCCCACTATGTAAGCAACTTGTTCTTTTATCTCTGTGGCGGTATTGTGTCTATATCTAGCATCTAACCGAAGGTACACATCTCATACTTATACTGATCTTGCTGAATGTGCCGGTCATTATTTATACTTCTATTTTTAAAGTGTTTTGCCGGGAATATTACGTCACTATGACGTCAGAGGGTGTGCTGATTGGTGGTTTATGCATCTGCATGTCTATTTATAGTAACAGTATGGATTGACCATAATATATAAAGTATGCACCTATATACACTATGCGTACAAGCTGTAGAAAAGGCGATTTGTAAATTGATCATTTGGATATGAGCAATACCCCGCATAAGAGTTGGATTTTTTTTTCAGATTGTATAAGAGGTTTGCCCAAGAAACTTGTTCTGCACGAGTGCCAGCCAAGGCATTGGCCTATACACATACAGCACAGCAATGAAGTAATAAATGAACTAGGATCACACTAATCCAGCACGTTATTATTCTGAGTTGCCCCACTCAAGCGGCGGCCATATTGAGTTGGGCACGTGAGATTAATAATGTGCTGGATTAGTGTGATCCTAGTTCATTTATTACTTCATTGCTGTGCTGTACGTGTATAGGCCAATGTAGTTGGATCTGTATATGCGTTATAATTAATCGAAATTAATCGATGTAAAAAAATTTAGATTCATCGAACACAAAAATTTTAATCATTACCAGCCCTATTAATCGGTGATCATTTTATAACCATACTGAGCAAAACTTTTTTGGCAACATAATTAAAATCTAAAATCAAACTAAACATGTTTACGCTAGAAGTGAGGCGATTAAGGGGGGGACATGATTTGGATGTACAAGATGTTCATTGGGGATAGCAACATCAGCCATAAACTTTTTACTATAAACTCCATAACAAGAACTACAGGCAACCACCTAAAACTGGTGGAGAAAAGATTTAACCACAAGGGGCGTAGGGGCTTCTTCTCAGAGCGGTTAGGGTCTGGAACTCGCTGCCACAAGCAGCAGTATCAGCTGAAAGTGTTGAATCATTCAAAAAGCATTTGGAAAACTTCCTCAGAGACCGTAACTTACAGGTGTACAGGTACTCTTAGAGACAAGAACACACAGGGACTCGTACACATGCATGCACATGCAGAATCACATGCATACACACAATAGGTTCAACTTGATGGACCTGTGTCTTCAACCTCAAATACTATAACTATGTAATTAAAGAAAACACATACAGACACTAGCAGAAGTATGCCTATTCCAGGTTAGTTTGTGGAGTGAAGCAGATTGTCAGGGCACAGCGTAATGTGCAGATGGCAGGGAACAGAGTTAGTAGAGGAAACGCTTATGGCAGAGAAGCTTGTCAGAACGCA